GGGGGGGGGGGGGGGCCTTAATATTTTTGTCTTTGTATTTTATCTTGTATTTTGTAATGCAGTACTAGTAAACAACAGAATCTCACTAATGGGCTTTTTCTTTCCCCATATACCGTCCTCTAGAAATGCATTAAAAGGAATGTGCCGTAATACCAACACTGGCTGCCTTTGTAGTGAACTTTGGTCTGTTATTGGTTGTTGGAAATAGTTTTGTTTGCTGGAAGTGAAACTGCTTTTATCTCACATTTCCTTTATCTCCAGGGATGAAAAGTGTTCAATATTTCCTTTGTGCCTGTGTTACATTTGATGCAAGGACAAATATCAGGCTCTAGAGCTAGGACACTTTGGGGAAAGAGTGAAAGGAATTGCGAATTGGAATTGTTTTATGTTATCAGCAGTCCTGCATTAGATTTCTAGTATACTTTTATCTCAGTGTATCATATTAGGAGATCTCTTTTAGTATCTCACTGTCTTTTTAACATGGTGCTGAATACAGATGTGCTACATTAATGCAAAGCTTTGTTTATTTGAAGTAATTAAAAAGTAATAATAATGTAGCACTGCAGACAGGCAAAATGGAAAAGGGAAAATCAGCTTCATTCATAATAAATCGGACATACGGGCCTGCTCATGCATTCAGTCACACTATATGCAAAGATAGGCTGAACAATTCTGGTTTTAAGTAGCTCAAGTGTGCTACTAAGATCATTGGTAAACATCATAGTACAGTAATTAATAGTGATGAGCCAGGGCTTGGTTTGAACCTAGTTGGCCTGAGTTCGCTCAAGCCCGCTCAAAACTGAGGCCAACAGCCCCCTCCCAGCCCAATCATTTGTGGCAGGTGCAGTTCTTGCACGTCGCAAAGTGGCAGGGAATAGTCTTGATGCAACTGCCACCACTAATAGGGTCGGGAGGGGGGAGTCGGTCAGTGTTGAGCACACATGGATGAAATGGGTTTGCACCAAGCCCCAGTTCATCACTTGTAATCAATCACTTAAAATGTATGTCCAGGCATTACCCGTATGTACCCACATACCTCCCTCTCAACCTCTAGAGCAACTCCTGGCATTTTTAAACATTTTGTTCCCATAGCGAGAAACTGTTTTATTACGATTACATCATTACCTTGGGCTTGTAAAATTCTTGCAGAACAGCTGCTGAGAATTCAGTTACTATTGACACAGGCACACCACCAGACCTACGTCTCTCAAGAGCCCCTGCCCTACACATAGTATGTGGGCAGGATCTTGAGAGAGTCAAGGCAGTAGCACTGTTGTGCTGGTATAAAAACAAATCAATGTAACCATAAGAAGAGGAACAGAGAGGAGTGGAGGATAGGCAGAGCTCTGTAGTCCAGCAAGCAGAGTTAACAATGCTGGATCAGATTTCACTGCAGAATAAGCACCATGTTGTCAGCCCATCAGGAACTTAAGAGCCCACTAGATTTGTGGCAGGTAATTTTATATACTTGCAGAATTTTAATGGGGTAATATATGGGGGTATGTGCATGTATTGGAGAGATGTACTGAATATGTTTTTATTTTGCTCTGAAATACACTCTAACACATGCAAAAAATGGATATCTATGGTGTAACTGCATGATGAAGGGTCCCCTTCATCATTTCAAGCCTGATGAAGGGGACCCTGTGTGGCGCCCGAAACGTTGCTTTTTGTTTTGACATGAAGCGTCAATAAACAGACGTGTTCTCCACTACAATATGGTGTGCTGGTGACATCTTTAACAAGCTTCAGTATTAGCGGCGCCATCCACGGTCACTTCGAGCACCCACGCTGACAAGGATACTCGTTAAGGAGTGCAGCAGGATTCTGGAATACATATAATCTAGCATGGTAACACAGTGCTCTAAGTAGCTACTAGTGCAGCGTACACCATTGGCAGCCATTTGTTCCATCCATGTAGAGATTTTGGCGGGATAATTGAACACGTAACTCTAGGCATAGGTTCACAAGTTGGGAAATGAGTGAAAGGATCAGTCAGCCAAGACGGTTATTGGAGGCTGTAGAGATTATACCAAGTGTCACGTTAATGATGCTGGCAATGGCGGCAACTGGGCACAAACAGGATTCCAGAAGAGACTGCTCACCTGCTCTTATGGCGTTGCTCTCTCAATGGCCAAAAACGGTGCAGGGTCTCATGACAATGAGAGCGCAGCATCTTGTTGGGTTAGCCAGTGACACCGTAGTGCCAAGTAAGCTTTGCCTTAGCGTTCCTGAAGGTTGTAAGTGGATGCTAGCGACAGGATTAATTGACAGCTATGCCCACTTTTGCAGGCAATAGGATTCTCATAGACATTAAATAGAACAGATTGGTTGTGCTTTAAATGTGACTGGTGCACTTTTACATTGCCTACACAAATATTTGTGACTACATTTTATTTTCTATATGATTGCCTTTCATGCTTTATCTTCCTGTACACAACTTTTCTATTCCTCCACAGGAAATGATTATGAGTAATCGTATCATGTTTCTGATTGCATGGTTAGGTAACGTCTACAGGGAATGTCACCTTAATGGCAGCTGGGCAGGAAGAGGAGATTATACACAGTGCCAGGAAATACTAAAAGAGGAGGTAAGACAGACCTAAAGGATGACACATGACTGCCTGTATGCCTAGGACAAATAACCCGGGTAGCGTGTTTGAGAAATAGCAAGTCAACGTTTTTGGATAATATTAAAGGAAACTTGTGATAAGAAAAATGTGTTGGTTAACATTGCTGAACCCCCTACTAAAAATGCTTTCTGGATGCCATGCTGATCCAACAACTGGCTCATTGACCTGGAACAAGTAGGGGGATTAGGAGTTTAGGTTTCACTTGTTGCATGCTTGTTTTAGGCAGTCATTTACATTTTTATAAATTAAGCTGGCCATACACAACTGAATTGGCTGAAATTGAAGCCATGGGCAGCCCTATTGGCAAACACACAGCTCTTCAAAATTCCATCAAACTTTGAGCTTGGCTTTAAAAGTCGATTGAACTTCTTTGATTTAAAAATTGTAGGAGCCGGCAAACATTCTACCGCTATACTACTACTTTCTAACTAACTTTCTACAAAAAATCTTGGCTCACTGGTCAGTCCCGTTGGACTGGAACGCGTATCTACCAGGAAGTGCGATATAACACTCTGACGCTCTATATCTCAATTGTATGCTGTACCCACCACAACGTAATCAGAGACTTAGTGTCTGACTAATGATAACCATGTTGATTGTGTTTGGCAAGTATCCCAATATCTGACCTGGTGGAATATACAATGTATGCACTTTCTATGCTTTATAAGCCAATAAAAATCTATTGAAATAAAAATTGTAGGAGCCGGGTGGAAAAATTGACTGCTGAACAATGACTGCATCCAATCAGAGGTAGTCTCTGGAGTATACAGACACTCATGGGTTCCAGCTGTCTAAACACAATAGCCGACAGGGGAGATTCTTGCATCCATGCTGCTTTCCATCCATGAGCTGAATGAGAGAAATCTATGCGTCTAAGGCTAGTCTTACTGACATACAGTATGTGACAATATAGCAGCACTGTATAGCAGTAACTTTCCCTTCGTCTACACACAGGGCTGTCCCAATAATGAGACAGCCTGAGGCTTTTGCCTCAGGCGGCATCTCTTTGGGTCATGTGTGTGGGGGTCGGCAGGCAAAGCAGCATGGACGCGCTTCTGCACATTATGTCTGCTTCCCCCTTTCCAGCTAGAGCATCCCAGGTTGCTAAGAGCCAGGCAGGGAGATGTGTAAGGGCCACACACATCTTCCTACCCAGTTCTGAGCAACCTGGGATGCTCCGGCTGGCATCTGGTTGCCAAATGATGCAGAGAACACACATGCCTCCAGCCTCTGAGCCTTTTATTGTGAGGGGGTTGGCACATAACAATTCCCCCATCATTGTCCCTTCTTAACCATTTGACGTAAGTTCAAAGAGCAGACACCAAGATTCAGCCTGGCATAATTTACCATATGTTTGCCAGGCCCATAATCCTCGAACACGCAGGGTTCCCCTCAAACACATGATGGCAGCCAACCTGAACCTCATCCTTAATGGTTGCCAACATTAAAAGGCACATTTCCATTATAAGTAAGCCGATTTCCCATTAATATTTAATATAGACCTTTTCACATGGAGTAACTTTCATTTCACATTTACTGGTCCCTTAACGCTCTAAAATATGATTCACAAGACACGAGTTCGGCTTCCAAACTGCCGTGTGTTTAACTGACAGGTTTAGACCGCATTGATAATGCCGAAAATTATATTACTGTCTGATGTAAATTGAGCCCTGTAGCCTTATTAGGTGCATCCGTAACTGCTGCTTGTTGTCCCGTGCTAAAGCGGGTATTCATGGCTGATTTACTTTTCTGATGACTTGCCTCAGGATATGAGTTATGCGTGTCATAGACATCTCCACAGATTGATTTTAGCCATGAATTCACCTTCATTGGAGCATAAATAGAAAGGAAGTCATAAAATGCCACATACAGGTCATGCCACCTTATGAACAGAGATGCGGGTCACAATAAAAGACAATATATTATTTTATCTGGGCTAAACAAATATTGTCCGAAAACAAGCAGTGTATTCTTACATGGAGTGCTTTGTATATTTCCTCCAGATCTGTGCAAATATCCAACGTGACACAACTGCTGAACCTTATCTTCGATGTTTCCTGTATTAAAGACCACTCACTACTGCTCTCTCTCCTTGTGCAGGGTGACTGGTCATGTCTCCACCCATCCTTTAGTTTTCTGCAGGCAGTCTGTAGTCTATGGGACATTCTGGGTCCCTCCCACAGCTGTGCATTCTGCACAGGCTACAGCACAGTGAAGATGTCACCATTACTGATCTGGTTTTGCAAAAGTATTTGGTGCATACAAGTGGATATAAATGCTTTTTGGCTACTAAGAAACATTTTTCTATGTGGTTACATGACCACAAAGCTCCTGCTGGTTCCTGTGTCTCTGCCGACTTACAATGTTGTTGAATTTCAAAGTACAGTGATGTCACCAACCAGCATTTTTAGTCCCAGAACATGGTCGGGCTGGCATTGAGTTCACATTCACCAACCTAAACAACGTTAGAAAAAGGAGACAGTGGTGAAGCTTATTATTATTATTATTATACAGGATTTATATACCGCCAAGAGTTTGAGCAGCACTTTACAATAGAAGGAAGACATTACAATACAAGTCAAGACAAGATGGTAAGGAGGGCCCTGCCCGTGAGAGCTTCCAATCTAAAAAGGGATAGGCAAGTGATACAAGAGGTGGTAGCTGTGCAGGGATGAATTGTTTGAGGAAGTGATAGGTCAGTGGTTAGGTAGAAATCAAATAGGCTTCCCTAAAGAGATGAGTCTTTAGGGATCGCCTAAAGGCAGTCAGAGTAGGAGATAGACGACCAGGTTGGAGTAAGTTGTTCCAAAGGATGGGAGAGACTCTAGAAAAGTCCTGCATCTGAGAAGTTGACGAGGAAGCTAGAGAGCAAGAGGTCTTGGGAAGTGCGGAGGGGACGGTTATAATGATACTTTGGGACAAGGTTGGAGATATATACCCGAAGTTGGCTTTGCAAGTGGTTTTTCATATTTAGAATGTTATCTTTTGAGCAATTGGAAGCCAGTGTAGGGATTGGCAGAGGGGAATTGCAGACACTGAGCGGTTGGTTAGGTGGATGAGTCTAGCAGCAGCATTCATGATAGACTGAAGGGGGGATAGCCTGTGTAGTTGTAGGTCTATGAGGAGGGAGTTGCAATAGTCAAGACGAGAGATAACAAGTGAGTGGATGATGCGGTCAGGTTATCACGCGACCACATAGAAAAAAAAAGTAAAAATGCATTTAGATGCAGAGTTAAAATAAAACTACTAATATTGTTCTTTCCTTCCACTTTAATATCTTTTTTTTTAAATTTAGCCCAGATATACACTTTGAGTTAGAGCTCCGCCAGCTTATCCACTGTAAATTAAATACAAGATAAAACATCCACTTAAAAACGTGTAACCTTTCGAGCAAAACAGATTGACCCTGAGCTATTTAAAAGGGTCTCTTCCTTAACATACGGTAAATCTTTAATCAGGATTGGAGGAGTCTTGACGGTTTGCACTGTTCTGTACAGACGAGAGACATTAGTATTCTGTAACTAATCATTCTTCTTTTACATAAATTCTACCGCTCTCACCTCTTCTAAATTAAAAAATCTATTTTACATTCGGTAAACTAATTGCTTTTCCTATATCTTCCCAGCTCAGGACGGAACATTTTTAAAGATCCGCTGCATAAAGCAGAGGATCCGCAGCCAAGTTCTGAATATCCGGTATTACCAATTCAAGGCTAATCTGCAGTGCTGCAAATGAGAGTCAAATGAAAGCAAACGTACATAACTCTTTTTTAGAGAATATAGCTTCTAGAGAGCATGAAAAGATTGGCACGGTATTATCCACGCATTATAGGTCAGGGAGTTTGGAAAGTGAATAAATGTGGTTTTTCCTTCACTGCCTCATTTCGATGACTTCAGGCTAAGTTTTCTCTTTCAAAAAAGGTGTAATTTGTTTCTTGACAGCCCTTTACACTTTATATGTTTTGTTGGCTGTCTCAGCAGCTTTTATGTTTTCTTATGCTTCCTGTCAGCTAGAATAGCCAATTATACAATAGTAAGGGAGGGGAGGTGTCAGATTTTAGAGGCTAGCTTGTTACCTGTTTCATGGAACTGAGTCCATTTTGTTGGAAGCAAGAGAATGCTGTGATATAATCTATTTAGTTCAGTTTTAACATCCATCTCACATCTATGTGGAATATTGTACATTCCCCATGAAAGGTCAATGATATATAGTACATGCTTTCATTGTTTAAAGTAGACCAATCAAAACTTTACTGCTGGAATAGATTCTAGATATGTCATGGTATAAAGCAACAATATAACCTTTATCACTAAAATTCTGTACCTGAACTCCAATCCAGTGACTTTGCCCAGGTTGAGAGGATGTCATCAGTCTGCTGCAGGCAGAAGGAAGCATTTCCTCTGTCTCCTCTCCTGCAGTGATCAGACTGGGCATTGTAACTGGCTGCAGCAGGGACTGAACTGTGTTGCATTTGTAAACAAGAACTGAGCAGGTATCATCCCTGGGCCACTATCGGAGTCCAAAGTAGATGCTGACCCTGGCTTGGTCCTTCTGGAAAAGTAGATAAAAGCATTGTCAGGGGGAGCACTGTGATCTCTGTAAAAGGTCACATATACCTGAAAGTTTTACACTTATCCTGACAAAAAAATATATATCTGATGCCAGGTCCACTTCACTAAAATATTTAATTGTCAATCTTTTTTCTTGGCAGAAAAAGAGCAAGGTGCACTACCACATTGCCATCGTTATTAACTTCCTGGGACACTCCGTCTCCTTGTGTGCGCTGCTGGTGGCTTTTACTCTCTTCTTGAGATTGAGGTAATGCTGCAGCCAAAGAGCAAGTATTGGAAAACACTGACTTTAGCTTTCTGTTTTTGACACACCAATGTTAATTAGAATTGCTTAGCTCCCTTTCTAAAGGTGGCCATGCATGAGACCTGCTCATGGAACTGCTCAACTTGACTCAAGATCAAATTAGAGTTGTGCAATGTTTGGCAGATGTAGCTATATAGTTGGGACTCACAAAGGGCAAAGTCCCTCTTGCTGTGCTAATGTGATAGTACTGGGTTCATGAGAGGTACCGTGTGGGGAATTGGAGTTGCCATATCACCTTCAGGGCTAGACCCTGCAAGGCCCCAAACGTGTTGGCTTTATTAACCTATGTGACTGGATACAAATACAATTATGACAATATTTGACCTCCATTCTCCATCCTTCTGCTGCTGAGTGAGTCACATGCTCCCTATTAGTGCTGGATTAATAGTACCTTGGACTTGGGCTATTTTCAATTCAAGGGCCTCCTGCCATGGCCCTCCTTAATATATCAATTCAATTATACACACCGCATTGTGCTTTGATCTGTCGTATATTTTGTTAGTATCTGGAACACAGGCATCTAAAACTGCACTTGCTATGCTTTTGTGTTGGTTTGTGTATTTTCAATAAAAAGTCAATGTGAATGGATCTCCATTGTGCCCCAAACTAATCATAGACTGATCTCAAATGCAAGCCATTACACCTGGAAAGTACTTGAGTGTTTGGCTTATTTGGCTTGTGAATATGCTGGCACAGCTCAGGTCCCTAGCCACCATCTTGGTCTTCAAATACCTGGACCTGGCTGTGCCATCTGGGTTCGGGCAACCACGTCCCTAATGACAGGCGTCAGGTCTGCTCACCAGACGCTGTGTGTCCCTGCTCCTGCAGCTTGCTGGGATATGTGATGGGAATATCCCAGAAAACTGCAAGGTCATGTACACTCTATTCTTGCTTAAGCAAGAATGGTGGTAGGGTCAGGTTTGGAGCAAACAAAAACACATAAAAAACATAAATATAACCAAAAAAGCCCTATTAACTATTAAATGGGGAAATCCTTTCCTTGTGTGCTGTTGTTTAAGTGTCTTTAAAAGGCTGCCCTACAGTCGATAAGACATTTGTACACATTACTAAGTGTATTTAATATACAGGCTTCCAGTTTTAGACCTAGGTCATGAGTCAGTCGCACACTATTATAAGACTCTATTTAAGCCTGTCCAGTAAATTACCGAATCCACAAATTGTTAATTGGGCATAAAATAATTGTGTCTCTACTTTAAGAGGTCTGCCAGTGCAGGAAAGGTGGCAGATGGGCCATTTCTTTTTTTTATTTTGACACGTGAGGACCAGCACCAAATCATCCTTCGATGATAAGCAGTCGTCAGTGCAATATTTTTGTAATTATTTAAAGTGGACCTCTTTAGTGTTCTTGTACGTTCACAACTGAATTATTTCTATTGCAGGAGCATTCGATGCTTGCGCAACATAATTCACTGGAACCTCATCACGGCCTTTATTCTTCGTAACATCACCTGGTTTGTGATGCAGCTTACATTGAGCCATGAAGCCCATGACAGCAATGTGGTAGGTAACCCTGACCTCCGTAGCTGTAACCCCCATTGTGAATTTTTACAGCAGATGTGCACACATCTTTTTTCTTGCTGTCTGTGTCTCTCAGTCAGTCTCAGTTATCAGATTGTGTTCTTGTTATTGATAATGTAATAAGCACTGGTAACAACTTCTGCCTCTCTGGCTTCTTTTTTTTTAATAAGTTTCACTGTTGCAGTCTGGCAGAGCAGTGCCATTGTAATATTACTTCAAGTCATCTCAGCATTCCCTGCATCCGAGTCAGCAGTTTGCTGTGTGTATATATCAATTCTGTGCAAAGGTGTCAGGAGTGGAATCTCTGTCCCAGCATTCAAGCATAGATTACCTGCAGAGCTCTACAGACTGCCAGCAATTGCAGAGCAGTGGTAAGCTTGCTTATCACTTTGCTGGAGAGCTATGTAGTATCTCCAAAAGACATAGTCAAGAAAAAAGGGATAGGAAGCCACAGGAGAGATTCACAGTGTGTAATACTTCACTCAAGAATTGTAGAAATTAGCACATTACAGTGTGTAAAATAATTGTAAGGTTGCTATTAACTCTTAAAGAAGACCTGAACCATGGAAGCTGTGCCCAAAAAAGGTATTCAGTGGACAAGGGTTAGTCACCAGTATTGCCTGTGGTCTCCCTGCAGCTGATCTTTTCCCATTACTGACTTACCCGTGCCTGTTCTGCACTGTGTCTCTGTGTGGTAGCAGTTACCTTGGTAGAGTCAGGGCTTTGCTTCCTTATGTCAGTTCTGCCCCTCTGATGACTGGTGGAGGAATATTCAAGAAGCAGCAAGAGAGGTGCAGGAAGAATGAATCCTAAAATTAAATGAAGCAGAAACGGGTAAAGCCTTGCACTGCAGGTCCTCAGTACAGCTCTTTCTCCAGCAAGGAGAACAGTAATTATATTTCCAAATCTGGCAGTCAGTGGCTAGACACCGTAAGTGCACTGCTATTTTTCACGAGGAACTCAAGACAAAAGGTAAATCTTTAAGGCTACTTAGACATAATTCCCTAAGGTTCCCTATAAAAAAAAGCAAGCCTTTTACTTCCGTTTTGTGAACTGTGCTGGTTCAAATGTAAACATGGCATAAACATGGCAATTTGAAGAGTCGTTAAACTTTTGATTCCTTTTTTTGTTGATATCGCAAAATTGACCAGAGATGGGATCAAAATTCAAACTCTATGGAAAAATCAGATCGCTTTAAAAAATGACAGTAGTTTATTTTCCTTTTTGTACTAAAGCTGGCAGTTGATTGCCCAATTTCCACTTTACAATCTTAGGAAATTGACTAAAAATTACTACATGTTTGACTAGTTGTAGGAATCAAGCAACCTTAGAAATGGCTGGGGAGAATATTTCTCTACACAGACCTTTACTCTGAGGCAGATGCTCTCGAGCTTGGTGGGGACTGCCCAAGACCCTTGCATTTTGAGTGGTTTGGTGATGTTTGTAGATGCATGGAGAGGAGGAAAGTTTGGGCAGTGGTGCCCGTGGAGGCAATGTAGGTTTGATGTTATTACTCTTACTTGCTAGACCACCATAGGCACCTCTGACTTGACAGCTATCTACATATTAGAACTTATTTTACTATTTCCTATAGATTTATCATCTTGACAGCCAGCAATAGCACAATAGAAAAGGGTATTTCTGCATGGGTTGAACTTATTTCCAGAGGCAACACAACTGTAAAAGATGTTGAGTCACTGTAGGGTGTTGTAATGATGACCTGCTATCTCCCCTCAGCTTCTCATCAGAATATCTTTCCTTCCTCTCCTTGCAGGTCTGGTGTCGCCTGGTCACTATAGCTCACAATTATTTTTATGTCACCAATTTCTTCTGGATGTTTGGTGAAGGATGCTATCTGCACACAGCCATCGTTTTGACATACTCCACTGACAAGCTACGCAAGTGGATGTTCATCTGTATTGGCTGGTGTATGTGACTTCTTTGTCCTGGGTTAAGCAAAATACAACTCTTGTTATCACAAGCAGCCACTGTGTGTATCCTCTGTTTTTCTAGTTGTTCCTACCATTTGTCATTTAGATTTTGATTTCTTTAGTTTTGTCTTTCCAGGTATTCCATTACCCATCATCGTGGCCTGGGCCATCAGCAAGCTATACTATGACAACGAAAAGTAAGCATTTAAGGTTGGGGTCAATGAAGGTGTAAGGGATACATAGCTTTATGTATTTGAAGAGAGTACACATTATTCTGGAATTAAAGCATTACTTCATTACTAAAAATGTTTATAAATCCATTAAAAATACATTATGGCTCTCTGCAGTATAATACTTATTTTGTTGCCACTTTAGTTCCACAGATCGCTAATACCTGTTTAAAACAATGATTTTCAGCTTGGAGTCTGCCCTTGAATTTGAATAGAATACAGTTTTCGTGCATAAAAATGTTTTAAAAAATACATATATGCTGCAGTCTGTCACTATCCTTAACATAGAATTCCCCCTGTAACATAGAACCTATTGCCAGTTGATTCTGCCTGTAGATACATTATCCTCCACTACCTGTAACTGGCCAAGCTGCCCAAGTATTTTTCTTATGACCATCTGTGCCCCTCTTGCCTTTGTGCACGTCTCTTAACTATCTGGATTTATATGCTGTACTTTACAGTTATTGAAGCAATGAACTGTGGGCCTTTAAGAGCACCTTCGTAATATAATATAATATATTATAATGGTGTGAAAGAGGCAGAAGGGGGTATTAGATAGTGTACTCGGTTCTTCATACAAAGAAGTATCATGTATCATGGGAGTGGTGTGTCTTTGATTTATTCCAGTGTCTAAAGGTATCCGGTGGGCAGAAAAATAAAATGTAAATGGTAGGACTAGGATTCAGGTATCTCATCTCCCCTTTACCCCCACATATTTGAACTGTTGTGCGTTATAAGCAGCACATTGCATTATAAGCGTTATTGCTGCACATAAGCAAGTCAGCCTTTACATCCTGTTCAGTTCAATCCATCCTGCACTATACTCTTTTTGCCCTAATGGAGAGTGCACGGCTAACAGTGATACCGTATTACAGCTCATGTAGACAAACAGTCAGCACTCGAAAAGAAATAAACCTCAAAGTTGCAGATTTATTGAAAATCCATAGTAAAGAGCTAAAAATTAAGTGCATAGAAAGTGGTAACAATGGCAAAAAAAAGCAAGAAAAAAAAAGCATATACACCAATGTTATGGGGCCACGCCGGCACACATCTGTCACCTTGAGAATGCAGCCCAACATGGCCCTGAAACATTGGCAGATTTCTGCACAATTTGTAGCACCTTCTTGTATATGTTTGCACTTTACTATTCAACCTCAATAAATCTGGAATTTTGAGGTGTATACCTTTTTTAAGTTGTGGCCATTTGTCTATATGAGCCTGTAATTTAGACCAGCTCTTTGGTTGGCAGCCAACAATAGCAAGTAAAGGTCAGGTTCGAGCCCAATGTGTACAGGTTTTGACACGGTAGGGGTGTCTCAGCAGAACGAGGAACCTAACCCAAATACAAAAAGTGTGCATTTTTTTAAACTGGTATTTAGTTAAAGAGTGCTTTTTTAGAAATGACATTGTAATCAGCTGACTAACAACCCTGCCGTATCAAACCTAACTCGTCCTGCAATCCTATGTATATTACAATTTCCAAACATTGTAAGGAGTCGTTATGGCTGTCAGAAAAATGGCAGTGCAATTTCCCCACGACTAGCATTATGCTATTTATCAGAGCCAAAAGGAATATTCTATGTTGCAACTTTTTTTTAGCTCCCACATTCCTTTGGGTTGGCTTGAGAAATGTAATAGATTTGTGCTTGCCAGTGTAACGGCAACCGCCGTCACCGCTCACCTGGGAAGAGGGGGGCACAGGTTTCTGCCTCACGGGACGGGCCGTCTGCGTTCCGGGGTGCGCGTGCATCTGCTTCCGGGTTCGGACGGCGGGTGCGTTCCACCGTGGCACGCGGAAGTGCTTCGTCTCGTTCGGCGGCTCCTCCCCCCGCCTCTTAGCCCTATATAAACACCCCAGTGAGACAGTATGGCGTTCCAATATTGAAGACTGAACGCCTGCTGTCTCCTGGGACCCCCCATACCATCCAATACTGCTACCTTCTACAGAGGACATATAACGTACTCCACTTGGACCCCCAGCTCCTTCTGCTACTCCATTGAAATCGCAAGTACCCTGGCATATTGCTCACCATTGAGTTAAACTAACTGTGTGTACAGAGAAGCTGGATTAACTTGCATGCTCCATCTAGTGGTCTTTTTGGAGAATACACCTTTACCTCTAAACCATAGCTGTTATCTATCCTAACCTAATTGACAACCTGAACCTTTACAATTTTTGTTACTGTTACATGTGATTGGGGTTATGCAGTAATAATCCCATCCATCCTTTTACTTCTGTTTATTTTGGCTGTGATGCTTGAACCCTAACTCCCCGTTAAGATTGGGAGTGAAACCAGGGTTCCGTCTGATTGGCCTCCGCAGTTGTGATCCACAAAACCCCAACCTCACACCAGGTGTTACAGCCAGAGACTTAAAGTTCCTGAACAGCATAATGACATATGGATCTAAATCCCTAAAGCAAGATTCTAGGAGCTTTCTGGTTTTTCTGTAGTTAAAAATATAGTCAGATCTTTGCAGTAAGAAAAAATAGTATGCTGGGATTGGCCGTCCTATAGAATTTGGAAACAATGGTCCCACAATGGAACTATCCCACCATGGGGACGGTCAGTGTTTTCACCAAAGAATTACACCATTTTAACCCAAGATTTACACATTTGTAAAAAACATGTGAATCATGGGTAAAAAAAAAAACATTGATAAATAGGCCCCCCATATGCTTTCTCCTTTGGTCCAAGTGCAAAAATGTGCAGCCAATCACACACAAAACGTACAGTGCCTCCGGGATCTTGTTTTAGGGATTTAGGGTTAAATGTGCTGTACTATAAACAGCAACCATCAATCAAACCTTTATCTCTTCCAGAGGGAGCTGAACAGACTGCAGTGCAAGGGCATTCAGATACCCTTTCAGCAGCTTCACCTCCTCATTACACAGCAGCTTCTCAGTCTTCTGTAAAATGTAAAAACATTTTACAGAAGACCGAGAAACTGCCGTGTAATGGAGGGAGATTATGGACAGGAAGGTTAAAAATGGAGTTATCCTTTAAGTTTAGTCGCATAAAATATTACAGAGTAGGAATTCAAAATAACGTCACTTCTGAGTTGTCATGATGTTTTGATTTCTTCTAGATGCTGGTTTGGGAAGAAGGCCGGAGTGTACACAGATTTTATATACCAAGGTCCTGTCATCCTGGTACTGCTGGTAAGTTAACAAGCTGATCTCATTAGGCCTAGCTAGAATGACAACAGCGTTTGGTTATCTGGACCTTCCAGCTAATCTTTGGGGCAAAGAAAGCACTATATCACTATCGAATGTATGTATATTAATTTTTGTTAGTTTCTACACAGAAGGAAAAATCAGAAATCAAACTGTTAGCAACAATGGCTGAGAGGAATGTGTACAATAAAAACCCATTAATAGTAGTCGGTAGGGCATAGAAACTACAGCACAGAAGCATCCAGTACTCAAAGATGGCATGTACATCAATTGTCAAAATATGTATTGGATCATTGTTAGTAAAAGTAAGAAAAAGTATATTATTGAGCCAAAATGCTCTGATATATAACTGAATGTAGGGATCGTACAGTTGGCATTTGTTTCCATTAAAATTGTCATAGAGCCCTTGACTTCAAACACATTTATAATGAAAAGAATTCAAGGAAGGAAGATAGAAGATTGAAGAACACAGAGGACTCTAGGAGGGGGAAGGAGGAGAGGAAAAAGAGGAGGGGGCAAGGACTCCTTACTCATCACAAGAATGGTGCGAGAGTTGGTGAGGTCCTAAAATGGTCCCATGGGGCCTATCTCATATAGCGTTGGTCATATGTGTCTTCCTCCCAAGTGACCAGCTTTTTAAGTTTCTCAATTGCATCCACTTCACATTCTGCAGTGGAGATTGTGGAGATCTCCATTGTGTAGAAATGATAGTGTGGATGGCAGCTAAAAGGTGGCATAGGCAGCCCTGCTTAATGTTCTTGTATGCCCCTGATATTATTGGCAGTAGCAGGATTTGAGAATCATTACATATATCAATATCAGTGATCTTCTTGTAAAAAAAACAAAATGATATGATGGTATTCCAAAAGGGCCCAATGAGGAGACAATCATACCAAATATAGGTCATATTACACCTTTCCTGGAGTCATCTCCAGTATGTGTCGGAGGCCATTGGGACCAATTTCCATTTCGTATAAATACAGTAACAAACCACTATGTTATTAGTAACCTGGTATACAATAATACTTTAATGTATTTATTTATATTGCACGAACATGTTAAAATATGTATATAAGGCCACAACGCTTCCTGTTCCCGAAACAGCTTACAGTCCAATGGCCACACACACCAAGTCCTTATTTATGTGAATTTGCAGAGTTTTCCAAGCACAGTAAAGCAGCAACACAGTAACAGAATGGGTGGGATCCATAGTTATGTTTTAGAACTGTGGGAAAAATCATGCAAACATCATGCAAATAGGGTGAGAATTGAACTTCTAAAGCTTTCAAACCACCCACATGCTAATTGTGCACTTTGATGTTGACGTTTTATATATAAAACAATATTTATTTTTTTCTTAGATAAACTTTATATTTTTATTTAACATTGTGAGGATTCTGATGACCAAGCTCCGAGCCTCCACTACTTCAGAGACTATCCAGTACAGGCAAGTTATTACTTGTTGATGTACTTTATCTCCATTCTCTCTTCCGTTGTTTGCTCACATTCCAGGTTGTCCTTCCTTATTTAGGTATTCTTGTTCATTTTTTCTCCATTGCCTTCCAGGAAAGCAGTAAAGGCAACTCTGGTTCTGCTGCCTCTTCTGGGAATTACCTACATGCTTTTCTTTGTCACTCCAGGAGAAGATGAAATCTCGCGAATCGTCTTCATCTATTTCAATTCATTCTTGCAGTCCTTCCAGGTAGGAAAATCAATTCAGGCCAGTGTTAAAATGTATTATTCATAGGCTGAATAAAGACACTGGTCCATCAAGTTCAACCTTTGTGTGTCTGTATGTGATTGTGTATATGAATCCCTGTGTGGTCTAGTTTTTAAGAGTACTTGTACCCTTGTATGCTGTGGTCTCTGAGGAAGGTATCTAAATGCTTTTTGAATGATTCAATATTCTGTGCAGATACCACTGCTTGTGGCAGCGAGTTCCAGATTTTAACACAAAATGTTTATTGCAGATGTTGCCATTACCACTAAACATTTTGTACATCAAAATCATGTCCCCTCTTAGTCTCCTCACTTCTAACATGAACAAGTTTAAATTTAGTAGCCTTGTCTCATAGCTTAGGTCCTCCATTCCCTTAATTAGTTTAGTTGCCCTTATCTGGACTCTCTCTAGCTCAAGGACATATTTTCTGTGGATTGGTGCCGGAAACTGGACCGCATAATCCAGATGAGGCCGAACCAGTGATCTATAAAGTGGCAAAATTATTGCTTTGTCTCTAAAGTACATTCCTTTTTCAGTACAAGCCAGTACTCTGCTCGCTTTGTTTGCCGCAGCTTGGCATTGCAAGCTATTGTTCACTCTGTGGTTCACTATGACCCCCAGATTTCTGACTTCCCTAGTGGAGTGCACATTAATAAGTATTCCTCTTGCCTGTTTTTGACCCCAAAATGCAATACTTTACATTTTTCAACATTAAAACCTCATATTTGTTTCTGTCTGTTATCTTACGGTTTTAAGTGGTCCTTTAGCATGTCTTCCAACTGCTTTGAGAAGCACCTTGTGCGGAGGCCTTGGGAAGGCTTTCAGGGGTTAGTGCTGCCACTGAATTATATGTGACATATACGTGGCAATTTTCAGTCAACCACTCTCTATCCACCAGAAATCACATGCACAATCGCAAAGTAGTGGCCGGAAACTAGGCAATCTATCACCAAGTCCTACTGATAAGCAGATTTTGAATTTGTAACTGGCCAATAAATTTACAGCTTTAATACAGTTTATTGTAAAGCTGAAATGTAAGGAGGAAAATTCTACAGAAATTTGCAGTTATTCACCAAAGGGTGAAGAGTTTGGAGAAGTTATCAATCTAGGACAACATAGCTGAACTGGAAAGTGAGCTGAATTGGAGACTTTTTCCAGTTCAGCTATGTTGTCCTAGATTGTTCACTTCTCCGGCCTGCTCCAAATTCTTCACCCGTTTGTGAATAACCCTGTAAGTCTAAAGTGATGAGATTTTTCCGCTGCATATGTTTAAGGAAATTTTAATATCCCCACCCTGGGGTCAGTTGAAACCTTCATTTTAGGTCTTTAACAATCTTGTAAATTTTGCAAAAAAATGGAATCAAAAGTTTGATTAAGTTGCAACGCATACAACCAGTTTTCAGATGGCAAAACACACAAGTTAAAGCCCCATTCACACCAGGTCGTTTTTTTCCACGCTGAAACATATGCAACATAAAATCCCACGTCTGGTGTTTGAAATGGTCCTTGAGCTTCTTTTGTTGCACTTATCAGCCCGTTTTACTTAATTTAATTCAATTGAAATGCGCCGATCAGCACGGTTTTGTGCTTTTTTAGTGCATTTTTGCAGCTGAGACTGTGAAACGAGCAGGACCGCATTATAATACGCGCAAAAAAAGCAGTAAAAAAAACTTGCGTGAGGCATGCTGAAATGCTGTTGCCCTAGTGTGAATGGGGTCTTAAAGTAGTATTAAACTCTCAATAACTTTTCAATAATGAAATGAGTTCAAACAAATACACATTGCTCAGCAAAGTATTTCTTTATATTTTTGCCCAAGCTCTTACAGTCATCGTGTTTTTGAACAACTCCAATGCTCTCAGCTCAGCTTCCCTGAACTTCCTGTCCAGTAGACGCTCACAAGAGCAGTCTCCAGCAGCTGTCCATCTACTAGCCTGGAGGAAGGGCAGGGGAGTGGCTTCCTCTGCTGTGCCTGTGTGTTTGTGGAGACACGCACAACTTACTAGCACACACAAGGGTGGCTCCTTAGGAACCTGCCAAGGGAAGGAGCCACCCTAATATAGAAGATCAGTACCAGTGCTCAGGGTACCAGCTGATTCTGCAGGAAACTAAAAAGTTTAAACATCAAGAAGCAGGTCAAAAACCTTTTGACCTTAATATCACTTGCAAATTTCAAGCAGCTTTCCATTACAAAAACAACCAAATGACTCAAGGGAACCTACCACCAACACATTAAGTAAATTTCAAAGTGACAACTATTGCCTATAGGATGTATTTGGTCTTCTTGTGATGGAAAGCTGGCAAACATC